CTTGTGACCCCCGACCACTCTCCCGCCTGTTCCTGGTACTCCGTTTGCCCGTTTGCTACTGACCCGGCCTGCCTGACTACGCTTGCATTGTATGTATTGTTATCTGTGGGGTTTGGTTTGGTTTGTTTGCACTGTGTTATGTTTTAGTTTATTTGCACTGCGTTTTGTATTGTTAGTCTTAATAAATTATATTGTTTATACCATATCTGAAGCCTGCGTTTCCCCTGTGTCAGTCCACACACCTCTGGTCATACCCTGATTCCTGACATTACACCATGGCCAATCCTGACCAGAAGTGGCTGCACAGGGAAGCCATCTTGGCTTATTGTTGCTAGGAAGGATGGATCTTGATGAGGTTGTGTATTTATCTCTGCTAGTGTTTGATGACAAAGACTATGCTTATCAGACTCTGAAGGAGTATCCCCGGGATCAACTACTAGAGTGTATAAGGATCGCTCATTGTCTAGTAGATCAGGGCACAGAGTTTTCTGAGGTGCAGCCATTGATCCAGGTTTGTGCTGAGTTGGCTCGGTCCTGTACCCCTGAAAGCAGGGATGACTTTTTCCCCCATTTAGTGTGGATCAAGTGGAATCACTGGTATGGTTGTTGGAGGAGGATCCAGATTGCTTCCATGAGCACTATGCAGCATGTCCATCACATGTGCTTATGGATTGTATAAATGCAGTGCAGTCTTTGATCAGACAGGCTATGTGTAAGCTGAGTTTTGTTCAACCAGTACTGCAGACATGGACAGATTTGTTGCACCCACCCTCAGTCAGCTTGCAACATCATTCCTCTGCTCAAGGCACTCTTCCTGCATCCCCGACAGCACCCCCAGTGACGGCCCAGTATACTCTGCTAACTACCACATACCAGTCCCCCCCTGCTCCCACTCGCTGCACCTATCCTTTCTTTGGCCCTGTGGAGAGGTCCGCTGTGGCGGCTGCTCCCTCCTCTGTTCCATCCTCCAGCTCTTCTCTGTCTTCAGCTGCTCCATTCATGTACAGACCTGCATTTACTTACAGTGCTCCAGTAACTAAAATGAGAAAAAAGCGAAAATTCTTTCCAACCAGTACCATCCTGCCAGTTGACTCAGAGCCCACTGTCGTGCCTGGTGACCGACGCGATGCCCGCTGTCATGCCAGTTGACTCAGAGCCCACTGTCGTGCCTGTGACTCGGTGCCCACTGCCTTGCCAGATGACGTGGTGCCCGCTGTCAAGCCAGATGACCTGATGCCTGGTGACCCAATGCCCGCTGTCGAGCCAGACGATCCAATGCCTGATGACCCAGTGCCCGCTGTCATGCCTGGTGACCCGATGCCCGCTGTCGTGCCTGATGACCCGATGCCTGCTGTCGAGCCAGACGATCCAATGCCTGATGACCCGGTACTCGCTGTCGAGCCAGATGACCTGATGCCAGATGACCCAGTGCCCACTGTCGAGCAAGACGATCCACTGCCTGATGAGCCGGTGCCCGTTGTCGTACCTGGTGACCCGATGCCCGCTGTCGAGCCAGATGACCTGGTGCCGCGCTGTCGAGCCAGACGATCCGATACCTGATGACCCGGTGCCCGCTGTTGTGCCAGTTGACTCAGAGCTCGCTGTCGTGCCTGGTGACTCGGGGCCCCGCTGTCTTGCCAGATGACTCGGAGCCCGCTGTCTTGCCAGATGACTCGGAGCCCGATGACTCGGGGCCCGCTGTCTTGCCAGATGACTCGGGGTGCGCAGTCTTGCCAGATGACTCGGGGCCCGCGGTCTTGCCAGATGACTCGGGCCCCTGCGGTCTTGCCAGATGACTCGAAGCCCACGGTCTTGCCAGATGACTCGGTGCCCACGGTCTTGCCAGATGACTCGGTGCCCGCTGTCTTTGCCAGATGACTCGGTGCCCGCTGTCTTGCCAGATGACTCGGTGCCTGCCGCTCCGCCTGGGGGCCCGGTGCCCACCGCTCCGCTTGGGGGCCCGGTGCCCACCGCTCTGCCTGGGGGCCCGGTGCCTGCCGCGCTCTGCCTGGGGCCCGGTGCCTGCCGCCCTGCCTGGTGGCCCGGTGCCTGCTGCTCCGCCTGGTGGCCCGGTGCCTGCTGCTCCGCCTGGTGGCCCGGTGCCTGCTGCTCCGCCTGGTGGCCCGGTGCCTGCTGCCCTGCTGGTGGCCCGGTGCCTGCTGCTCCGCCTGGTGATTCAGTGTCCAGCCTGATGTGCCTCTGGTGATCCAGGTGTCCAGCCTGATGTGCCTCTGTCCGTTGCCCAGCCCGATGTGCCTCTGTCCGTTGCCCAGCCCGATGTGCCTCTGTCCGTTGCCCAGCCCGATGTGCCTCTGTCCGTTGCCCAGCCCGATGTGCCTCTGTCCGGTGCCCAGCCCGATGTGCCTCTGTCCGGTGCCCAGCCCGATGTGCCTCTGTCCGGTGCCCAGCCCGATGTGCCTCTGTCCGGTGCCCAGCCCGATGTGCCAGTCTTTGATATCCGCCAGTTACCGGACCCAGGGCGGTGGAACATTTTACCCAGCTAGGACTGTTTGGAGCGTCCTGAGGCTGCTCCTTGGGGGGGGGGGGGGTACTGTCAGGAATGGACTTGCCAATAATGGTGGGACTCACCTGCCTTGTGGGCTGCAGTACCAGGGCTGGCCAGCGGGTGCTGAGCAATCAGAGACTCACCCCTGCACAGCCAAATACCTGAAGCTGATTGCATGGGGTTGTATTTAGGAATGGCCAGACTCACAGTCAAGGCCTGGTGTGTGTTTTCCATGGGCCCCTGTATCTTATATCCTGTATTCCTGTTCCTGTCTGACTTGTTGCTGACCCTGCCTGATCCTGACCTCTGGTGGACTTCTCCTGCTTGATCCCTGGCTTGTGGGACCATGCAGTACCGTGGAGGTCTGGTTCAGCGACCAGTTGCTCTCAGCAATCACCTGGAGCCAGCTGATTGCAGGGATTGTATTGGGAATGGAATGGTGCAGGGGTCACAAGTCAAGGTATTCCCCCAGAGTGTGTGTGGCCTTCCATGGGCCCCTGTATCTCAGGATATACCCCACCAGGGAATAGCAGACTGGGAACCAATAGCGGATCAACAGGTTAGGGATCCTGTGAAAGCAGAGTCAGTTGCCAAGGGTCGGTCACCCTGGTAGCAGATCAATCGTACTTCGTTAGGATTGAGACAAAATCCTGGTCAGGACCCTGACCATTCTCTAGCGGAGGTGTAGACTCTGTACTGCGGAACTGCCCGTGAGGCACAATAATCTGAACCCAGCTTGTAGGAAGTTCCCGACACTTCAAGGTTCAAGAGCCAAGCCTGTTCCTGGAGGCAGAGTGTTGTCCAGCATCCTGGTAGCCCGTTTGCTGACTGACCCAGGTCCTGCCTGACGACTCTGTGCATTGAGTTATGAATTGTGACCCCGACCACTCTCCCTCCTGTTCCTGGCACTCCGTTTGCCCGTTTGCTACTGACCCGTTTGCCTGTTGCACTGTGTGTATGTATTGTTATCTGTGGTTTTTGTTTTTTGCACTGTGTTTTGTATTGTTAGTCTTAACCCTGATTCCTGACACATTGAGGCCGGCAAAGAATGTAATGCGGTGCGATGTGCACTACATTACATCCAATGGAGTACAGGGGAGACATTGGGGGTCTTTTAGACCCTGGATGTCTAAATAAAGAGAACCTAATTGTAAAGAATTAAAGTTACACCCAAGTACATAACTCCTCCCTTTAAAATTTTTTAAGGCCCCCCACCCCCACATATATGCACACCCAAACGTAAGAGCACACGCTGGAGCGCCTACACGTGATAACATTGATTGTGATACACGTTACATATCGCCGGTCACACCAGAATGAGAGGATAATTCTAGGAGCAGACCTCCTCCGTACTCTATACTGATGACCTAGAAGGGGCTATAAATGTGTCCCCTATAGATAATACCGGGGACTAAAGGTTGTCACCATTTCAGCACACACAACTTAAGGTTTTTGACATGTTGGATATCTATTTACTCGCTGCAACCTCGGCTTTTATGGTGTAATTTATGGGTCTTTTTTTTTGCCCTGAAACTAACTTAAGTGTATATTTTTTACTGAAATTTGGCATTTCCTAGACTTTGTGATAATATTTTGCGACATAAAAAATTAGAACTGCCGCTATTTTATTCTCTAAAGTCTCTACTTTTAGAAAATGTATATATTGGGGGTTTTGTGTCATCTTTAGGGCTAAAATGATTTTTTTAAATGTGTGCAAAAAATGCAAAAATGGCTCTGGGAGTGAAAGGGAGAAAGGATAAGCTGGACACTCCCCTTTCCTGAGGAGCAGCCAATCAGTTCTCATTACACTGCAAGGTCTCTCCCCTCCCTGCTAGTCCCCGGGTGCGGTGCTGGAGACAGGTGGGGGAGGGGAGGAGGAGATAAACAGCGAATGTTACACATATTAAATGTTTTAGTCGCTATAAAGCCCCTTTCATTTTTAAACCCCCCAGACATTCCTAAAAGCGCCTCAGATTTATATACATTTTCTGTTACAAAGGAATGTTTCCTTCCTCCTGAGCAGCAATGTAAGGGGCTCTATGCTCCATACTCCTGACCCCGGCACTCCATCATTGTGTTGGCTGCATAGTGTAATGATTGCCCATTGGCTGCCTGTGTAGTGTCATCATTGCCCTTTGTAGGCCATGTATGGTCAGGATGGTCCTTGTCTTGTCTATTTATTGTCAGTGCTGTTTGTTTAGAGGACCATATTACTAGAATTTATCTCCACAATGAGGAGAATGTTCCGGCCCCGGAAGTGGGGGAATGTTCTGCCCCTGAAGGGGTTCATCTGGGTTCCCACACTATATATGTGTGTATCATCATCTGCTGGAGATAAAAGACACATGACATCACAGTGACTATGGAGGAAGAGGACATGACCATGGAGGAAGAGGACGGACGTGACCGTGGAGGAAGAGGACGGACGTGACCGTGGAGGAAGGAGGACGGACGGACGGACGTGACCGTGGAGGGAGAGGACGGACGTGACCGTGGAGGAAGGAGGACGGACGTGACGGACGTGACGTGGGAAAGGAGTGACCGGAGGAAGAGGACGGACGTGACTGGGAGGACCGTGGACAGGAGAGGACGGACGTGACCGTGGAGGAAGAGGACGGACGTGACCGAGGACGGACGTGACCGTGGGAGGAAGAGAGGACGGACGTGACCGTGGAGGAAGAGGACGGACCGTGGAGGTAGAGGACGGACGTGACCGTGGAGGAGAGGACGGACGTGACCGTGGAGGAGGGACGGACGGACGGACGGACGTGACTGTGGAGGAGAGGACGGACGTGACGTGGAGGAGAGAGGACGGACGTGACTGTGGAGGAGAGGACGGACAGTGACAGGGAGGACGGACGTGACCGTGAGGGAGAGGACGGACGTGGGGGGAGAGGGCGGACGTTACTGGGGGGTTACTGGAAAAATAGGAAATAACATCTTATTACCTCCTTTGCTGCCACTTCTGGTAACGTCTCTTTTCTACTTCAAAACCACCTGGAACTTCCTGCCTGACATCACTTCTGTCTGTCTTCCATAGAGACTTCCTGTCTGGGCAGAAGTGATATCACCACCTTGTGGAGCTCAGAGGAACTGCAGCCCTGAGAAACATCTGTAAGGCTCCAGTCACATCATCTTTGCAGTTTGCTTTTTGTTTGTTTTGCAGTACTTTTTGCGCAGTTCATTTTGAGTTTTTTTATGATATGTTTGTAAGGGTGAATGTCACCAGCACACCGAGGATCACCAATATGGGTCCAAAAGTTTTAATGAACGATCACATAGTTACAGCAAGGCAACATTTTGGAGACTCGCAGGACCCTTTGTCACATGCCTGATGAAGGGGTCCTGCGAGACTCTGAAACATTGCCTTGCTGTAACTATGTGATCGTTCATTAAAACTTTTGGCCCCATATTGGTGATCCTCGGTGTGCTGGTGACATTCTCCCTCGCTGATTCTGTTCAGTTCCAGCCGACGGACGTCGCTGCAGCACCCACTTATACACACCCGCCATTTTTAACACAGGAACATGAGTGTTTGGATTGTACACTTGCATGTTGATACGTTTGTGATGCATTTTCACCGTGTTTTGTGTTTTTGTTCAGCTCTTTTTTTTTTCAAAGTGAAATATTTTTTTTTGGGCAGAATAAAATGCAAAAACACACTGCCATGCATTTCAGCAGATACTCCATTGAACTCTATTGTAGGAAAAAATGCTGCTTTTTGCTTTCAAAAAGAAGTCCCTGACCCTTTCCAAAAACAAGCAAAAAGCATTAAAAAACGCATTTGTGTGAATGGAGCCTGAATAATCATTCCTGTGAAATATCTACCTTACATGGATACCAGGGAAATTCAAATATAACACAAGATAAGGAAGAACAAATCATTCTAGCTCTTATGGAACCAACACTTTAACAAAGATATTTTATTACATATAGAAAATAAATTAAAACAGATTCCTTTTGAAATCAAATCTTTTTGGTAAAGAAAATTGTGGCGGAACCGTTCCGCCTGGGCTTCCTCGTGCGGAGCGATGCGTGTCTCAGCCAATGGTCCCCTTTTCTGGCACGTCTTCCAGTGCTCTGCCAAGGCAGGTATTAGAGCTCAAAACCAATCCTTTCCCTGATATCCCAAACCACGAGTCGGAACTTCACGTAGGGTGAAATCAATCTTTATTAAGCACAGCTCAGTATATACAGCTTCACCCCCACCAGACATCCTGGCACTTGGGTTTTCCCCACCCACAACAAAACCCTACAACACAAAAATACAGTATGAACTCTATAGAAGTGAAAGACTAC